TTCACCCGTCGCTCGGAAATCCACGGAGAACTCATTGAAAAATGACTTTCAATCAACGTTACTGACAGTCCCCTTTGCCTTAGCTTACATATTCTTTTAGATAGGCAGTGTTTAAATATATATATTTGTACGACCAAACATCTGTTGGTCGATTGGTTGTGAGCTTGCGGAAGGCGCGAAACCCTGGAGAATCTGGCGAAGAAGATTTGGGGTTGAGTTTGGCAGACCTGACAAAATATACAATGGGATTTACTGTCGTTTCCAGTGACCATATCAGCGAGCGACCCGCAACTAAATTACCGGCGACGTGTTGAATCCTTGTCATTGATAAGTCGTACTCCAGAACTGAACTGATCCTGCTCCATTGGATTCCTTTTTATCCGCCTTGGCCTGTAATTCAGAGACTGTAGTGTAGGTGAACCTCCTTAGATTCTAAGTCGCCTTTACCGAGCAAGCTGCTCTTCTATATTATATGCGGGATCGAGGGTTCGACTTCATCTGATGGGCTTCTGTATCAATAAAATTCGCTTGATTGTTTTCATTAAAAAGGAAAACTGACAAGGCAACTGCAGGACTTATGCATTTTTCGAATAAGGTTGTTCCATCAAATGTGACAGCGTCCACTAGGAACAGACTTCATGAACAGATTGAACAAGTGCTTCAGTTTCGTATCCTTCTTTGCACAGCTTCCGCAGATGTCTTGCGTATTGAGCCACCTCAGGGACCTGAAGATACACAAATAGCGATCAGTTAGGGAACACCACCGGCAATGAAATTAACTGAGCCGATATTCAGTTGTATGAACGTGTGAATAACCATTGCTTAAGTGGCTACGAAAGCTGTCAACTCATTCAAACAGACACGAACAACCAGGAAAGCTCACTAAACATACAAAGTAGTGTTTCCTTTCGGCTGTTTATTCCTTGTGAAAAGGAGACTATAGTTGAAGAATATTTGCGTTGGCTTTTTGTCAAATCAATCAACAAAAAGGCAAGAAAATGTAGACGAAAAGAGTCGACGAATGAACTAGCCGAGCAGATCCTGGTAACCAAACAATTTGTTCGTCAGAGGTTGAACTATGACTGGCGGTGAATTTCTCAGTATGAACAAATTAATTTAAATATCAAAACACACTGTGTGCCAATTAGCATCAGAAATCAGCCAAATATAACATTTCCTTCCGCCATTTGAACATCTTAAATGTTTGGATTATTTCCTCACTGGTTCATGGCAAGTCCCCCAAATGAAACCCCCTAACTTCTGGTCTCGAGGGTGAGAATTTCGATTAAGGCTGTAGTGGCAGGGGTCAAGAAGGCTTCCTTCTTTTCCATGGGTAACCGGACAGTTACATCTACCGACGCAACGTGAGAACAGCAAGTCTGTAACTAGCTAATTCAGATAACACAGCCACGATTTTTGTCGCTATATGAATTAAAAGCCCGTTTCTAGACCACTTCACCCTGGAGAATTAGAAATAGGCGATTTCCAAC